CTTTGCCAGGCATGGGAGTGCCACCCCCTCCACCCCCACCCCCTTTACCAGGTATGGGAGTGCCTCCTCCTCCTCCACTACCCCCACCCCCTTGGCCAGGCATAGGAGTGCCTCCTCCTCCACCACCACCCCCTTTGCCAGGCATAGGAGTGCCGCCTCCTCCACCACCACCCCCTTGGCCAGGTGTGGGGGGACCTCCTCCTCCTCCCCCTCTACAAGGACTGACAGTGCTGCCTCCTCCACCTCCCCCACCTTTGCCAGGCGTGGGTTTGCCACCTCCTCCACCACCTTTGCCTGGTGCAGGAGTCCCTTCTGTGCCTGGAATAGGCATGCCCCCACCTCCACCTCCTAGTCTTCCACAAGTTTCTGGGTTTCTTCCTCCTCCCTTGCCGACTGGTTTATTTGTAATGGGAATTAACCAGGAAAAAAGTAGCAGAAAGCATGCAATAGAACCTTCTCGACCCATGAAGCCTCTTTATTGGACAAGAATCCAGCTTCATAATAAAAGGTAACAATATGTTAGAAATGTTGGTCTGAAGCTTTTGAAATGATAATATTAATTGCCTTAGAACTGAAAATACCAGTAAGTCAAATATCTGTACGTTGTTCTTTCTGTGGCACTACAAATTCAAAACTGTCGCTTAAAATGCTCTTTCACTGTATTGGTTTTTAAGCCTTTGGGAGACAATGTTGGGAAGAAGTATTATCCTAAGTATTTTTAAAGGTAAATACTATCCTGTGGTATAGCCCAACCACATATTTCTTGGCAGGATATACTTATCTTTCCAATGCAGCAGTGTGTATTATTAACCTTTCTTAATCAAATGTAACTATAACATGGGTATATTTTAAACTTGTTCATGTATATCAGCTTTTCTCAAGGGCCAGTTCATACACAAATTACAGCACTACTAGATTCCTTTGTTAGTTTTTCTTAGCTCTTTCTCCAGTCCCATGAAGATAACCTATTGTGAACTGAGGTCTATGTGTGCATGGCTATACTTTAGCAGACCTAAATACATGTCCAGATGTTTGCTGGAAATGATCCAATAATAGTCAGACTTGTTGCATGAGCAACTTGGACCAAAACAAAACAAAATCCTTATTACCATCAGTTGTCTGAAACAATCCAAAAGTTTCCTCTTGTAGCAGGTCTGAAGACTGCGTACATAAATTCTGAGAAGAATTCATGCACACAGTAGAGAAGCACAAGCGGTTTGGAATTGCTAGAAGCTAGTATGAGTTAGCAAGGGGTTCTTCAGATGTGTTCTACTTATTTTAGAGCTGGTGCTCAGTTCAGGAAGTTGGGCTTCTATCCTAAAATAAGAGATGCCAGACACTGAGTAAGCTGATCTCCTTTTGAATTTCATTCTCCTCACGAAGAAGTGTAAGTGGTTTTGAGGAAAGGATGTTTTACACATGCTCAGAAGTTTATTAATATTTAGGAAGCTCTTTCCAGCGCAGGGAACAAATTTATGTTGTAGGCCTCAGTAAGACCAAACATTGTATATCATGGGATTAAAAATTGTTGCATCTTTGTGTCTTTTTGCAGAAGCTAGAAGGAGGAATGGATGGTATATGTTGGTATATATTATTCTTTGATAGTCACCGTATATTAGTAAATATAATCAAACCATCTATATATTTAGGCAAAAGCTCTTCCTGTGTTAATAATTGAGCCACACCCTGGTGTTTTCAAAGACATGCTGAAGTCCAGAGGCAGCCACACCTCACATCCAGGCCCTTAGCTTACAAAAGCCCGTAGCTTAATAAAATTTCACTGAATTGCTCTGTATGGATGGAGAGCAACTTCAGTGAGTCCACTTGAGAAGGGAGGTTTCAGATGTGGGTCATACATGATAGAACCCTCTACTTTCTATTTCTTTTAGTGTCTTGTTGATTTTTGGCATCTTAAAGCAATTTGAAGAAAAAAAAATATAATACACATGTGAATTTATCTGTGTAGTTGTTGCCATTTCTAATGGTGTAACTGCATGTCTTAAAGTCATTTAAGGACAAGGAAGAGGTGGAATTTAAGTGAGCTAGGAGGTAGCTCACATAAATGTAAATTTCTGAACTGTAAATCTCCCATCCATTGTCTAAGTGGAGTTTGTGCACTGCTTTTCTAAGATTTGATGTGCATTCAGAGACAGAGTGACTCAGTGCTTAGGATCTTGAGTAAGGCTTTCTTAAGAACGAAACTGATTATTATCTTGGACCCAATCAGAAGGCATTTGAACTGGAACCTGCTTTTCTATAAGCAGAACAGGGGCTTTCTAGGAGTCTTGACTAACTAAACTCTTTTGAAGGCAGATCAGAACGCAGGGCTTGGTTGTAATGCAAGGGATACAAGGGGTCAAAACTGCTTGAATGCTATTCCTTCTGATGAGGACAGTCTGCTCTCAGATCAATAATGTCTTGTGTAAAGTAGAGAGCCAAGCATGTTTTCAGACAAATCGCCCAGTTCTTAACTTACACATGTTCTTTACTTTCACATTAAAAATAAGTTCTAGACTTGTCAAGAAAAAGTATAAAGAGAAAGATATGAGGATGAGGATGAATAGCTATGAAAAGGACATTGTAGCTTATAATGTACACTGCAGTTTCTGTGTGTAGTCATGGTAGTATGAATTCATTTTCAGAATGCTTCATGAGATTTCTTCTGAGAAACAGGAAATTAAAGTGAGAGTCAATCTGGGTTTTGTTTTGTTTTTCTTTCCTTTTTTGCCCTGCTTTCATCCACTTCTGTGTGCACAATTCCCGTCCCTCATTTTTATAAACTGTTGACAGGCTCCCCTATATCAAATTTCTCTTAAATGGGGATCAAAGATAAACTTACAACTGTGCTAGTGAAGAGAAGAGTCATTAGGAAAATCTCAAGGAATAAGGAGGGGGAAAAAAACCCTTATCACTCTATGTGAATTCCCTTTAGATATAATCTGTGTGCTGTGCACTAATTGCTGCTGCTTATTGGAAATTATGGAACGTCTTCTCAATAGTTCTCATTATCAAACAATGCCTTGTGTAAAGTTTATGCTATATTTTCTGAAAGCGTTTTCTTTTTGTTCCTCTCCTTAATTATCTTTTTGGCTTACTATTCCACATGATGTTATTTTTCTCAACTATTGTAATAATCATGGTAAGCAACCTTTGCTATGAATCTGACAATACATAAATTATAGCATGCATATCTATTTCTCACTATAAATTTAGAACCCACTGAAAAGTACCATTTCTGTGTTGTGCAGGAAATTGGCAGCATATTCCTTTTATGAATCAGAAATGTTCAATATTTTTGTAGTCCATTTCCAATTGGAAAAAGTGAATGTTAATGATGAAACTGATAATTCATCTATCTTCATTCCACCATTTTGTGACTATTTAGTCTGATGTTGTCCTACATAGGTCTTTTGCTTAACTTTAGAGATTCTAGTGCTTCACTTGTGTGGGAAAAAATTGAAGAACCTTCAATAGATTATCATGAATTTGAAGAACTGTTTTCTAAAACAGCTGTTAAAGAGAGGAAGAAACCTATTTCGGACACCATCACCAAGACCAAGAATAAACAAGTGAGTACTAACTTGCACTTTTCTTTAGTGGGCATTAGAAAACTTTGGCTAAGTCTATGGGACTTAGCAAGCAGGGAGCAGGAGATCTGTGAGTACCTCATGGCTGGTCCAAGTTGCAGTCTGAAGGGACAAGGAGATACAGTACATTCAGTGGAAACAAATGGTTATGAACTGGGCCATATTGAATATGTTTGTTTTGTTAGAAATAGGGAATAAATGCTAAACTTAAAAATAAGATAATACAGATCAGAACAGAGAGAAGATGAGATGAATGTGCAGGCTGCTAGATGTGCAGGCTGCTAGCAAAAGAGAGGCAAGGAATGGAGTGGAGAGGGAGATGAACCTCTTGTACTTTGGGTCTTGGCTCTGATCAGGTTTGAGGTACTGGTGGATATGCCATATTGAGAGTTTATTGAGGCTTCTCATAATATGGGCAATTGAATAAATCTTGGAAACTAATCATGATTTCACTGTTTTTTTCCTTCTTTTTAATTGTTGAAAAATATTTATAAAATATTTATAATTTACTTGATTTTGGTTTTAACTCTTAGTTTGAATGCCAAACATGTAGAAAGGTGTATGAATCTATAAATATTTGCTACTCAGGCTTATCACTTAATATATTTAGTCTTATTCAGGATTTAGTAACTAGAACATAAGGTGATCATGTGTAGACAGCTAAGAATTCTCCATAGTATTTACTATTGTTGGACAATTGTTGGCTGCAAACATTTTACATGTAAAATTGATATAATTACAGTTAGCAGAGAAATATAATGTAATACTATAGCAATAGATGAAAGACTTGAAGAACTAAGGATCTGAGGCCAGATCCTCCTGGAGAAAATCTATGAGATCATTAAGAATGAACGCCAACTGGATGGCACATAATTAGTCATTAATCATAGCACTAAGTAATTATGTTGATAGATTGCTCAAACAATTATATTTTTCTTTTGAATTACTATTTTTCTTTTAATTTTATTCTCTCTATTCAGACCTAAAATATCTTGTGACTGGTAGTGACTTTTCAAGGGATCAGGCATATTACCAGTCTTCTACCTAAGATTCTTTTAACTGACTTGAGCCCGTTCATAGATAATTTGCATCTAAATGTTAGAAAAGCAGCAAAGTTTATCTTTAGTATTGAGTTACCATTTTACCTTGTAATAATATATAGGGCAAAGTAGCAAAAAGTTACAGTGTGTGGCTTTATCAAGGTGGTAAGCACTTCACCAAATGAATATACATGAAATTCATTTATTTTGGGGATTGTGATATTGGTATTTTTCTAGGAAATCCAAATTATAAAGTTGCTTATTTACATTTGAGCAGTGAAGATATATTTCGATGTAGAACAGCTGAAAGTAGGAATCAGAATGTAATATTTCAAAACAGAATGTAGTATTTCTGCTTTTAAAAATAGAATTAAATAAGAATTCCAACTAGTACGAGCATCTACACTTCCATTAAGTACACATTGTTAGAACAGCTGCTCAGCTTTCAAATATATCTGTTTGTGCAGAACTCAATTTTGCTTTCCAGAGTTTCTTAAATGCACAGTATTAAATAACTTATTAGTTAAGGAAGATCCAAAATGCTGCAGTTTTTGCCATTTCATTTATGATAGGGACACTGTATATTCAAATAAATGGATCTGTCTACTCTGTGACATTTTAAGTTTTATTTAACATATCATGAAATTTAGAAACACAAACTTCTGCAAACAATAAAATGATGGCTACTGAGTTGTGTTTTGCAAACAGTGATTAAATAGGCAGGCAGTAGTTGTGGTTAAACATTAGGGGTTGCGGTTTCAACGTCTGGCAGGATTTGTTTTCTTTTGCAGTAGTAAGCACTTTATTATATTATTTTAAAGTATATTTTTAAAACTTGGAGCTGAATACCCCGAAAGGTCTCTAAAAGGACATGCTTTCTACAAAACAAGTTTATTGAAAATGTAATAGAGTTCTGCTAAAAATATGAATGTATGTGGAAATATGTGCTGATGTAAAGAAAATTTGATGTAATTAATCAAATGCTATTTATTTCTTTTTATTTCATTTTAAAAATTTGTATGGCTACCCATCTTATACATCACAACTCTGGGTGACTCACAAACTGTGATAAAACCCAACACAACAGTAAAACCAATATACCCCCCCCCCAAAAAAAACCTAATCCCAGCACACCAACCAACACTCCCCAACCAATCCACAATATTGCAAATGCTGGGCTCCAGCTTCACCTGATCTCAATGCCTGAGAGAAAAGCCAGCTCTTCAAGGTCTTCTGGGAGGCTAGGAGAGTGGGGGCTCATTGGATCCCAGGGGAGAGGATATTCCACAGATCAGGGGCCCCTACAGAAAAGACATGCTGCCTAGATCCTGCTAGGTGGCAACATGTAAGGGAAGAGACTTGGAGTGCTCCTCCCCTATCCAACCTGGTGGAGGAGGCAGATATCCTCAGGGAGAGGTCCTGTGCCATGCAGGGCTTTAAGGTGATAACCAGCACCTTGAATTGCACCCAGAAAGAAACTGAGAGCCATGGCAGTTCACGCAGCAATAGTGCAATATGGGCAAACCTGCACTTGCTGATGTGCTGCTGCATTCTGGACCAGTAGTAATTTCCAGATGGTCTTTACAAGCAGCCCTGTGTACAGTGCACTGCAGTAATCCAACCAGGAAGTGGCATAAGGCAGAAATGACTGTGAGCAAGGCCTTCTAGGCCAGTATTGGGCACAACTGGCACACAAGACAAATCTGTGCAAATGGCCATGGTTGCCACCTGCTCCTCAAGCAGCAGCCACAGGTCCAGGAGGAACCCCAAATGATGCACCAACTCTGGGAAAGTGCCACCCAGTTGAGAGTCAAAGATGACACGTCGCCAGCTCCAGAGGGGCCCAATACCCAAAGACCCTCTGTCTTGCCACTCCAGTTCCTCCCCATCCATGCCTTCACAGCCTTCAGGTCCTGGGGCAGCATTTAAAGACAGCAGATTATTTTGTTCTCCTTGCTTTCTTTTTATAACCTTACCACCTGATGTCTTTCCGTACAGAACTATAACTGTTTGGAATTAATCTTGGAATATCTTTGTGTAACAGTGCATAAGCTTGAATCCCAAGCAGTGCTCTTGCAAACAAGTGTTCCTTCATACTGAAAATATCGATTAAAATGCTGTAAAACTGCACCTGAATTTATCTTAAACTGTGAAGGATGCAGTTATGAATTATTGTTATTGTTATTACTATTACTATTCAGTTTTAGGGAAGCATGGGTCTCAGTAGCTGTACTATTTTCCAGTGTATTTGAAAATTTAATTCAAAGTTTGAGCGATTTTATTTTTAATGCTGCAAAGATCTTATGACCAGGATAGTAATTCATGTTATATGGTTTAGCCACTCCAGAAAGTCTAGGTTTTTTTAACAAATAAAAGCTTAATAAATTAGATATTTAATATTTTGGATGAAATGAAAATGTAGATATGTTCATATGCTAAGTATCATTTTAACTTGTTGGAAAAGATTTGTGTTGCATACCATTATTTTGCCATAAAAATCGGCACAAGCGTTCAGTAATCTAAATTGTGAACTTAAAATAATTATGCAATTATGCAAGATGTGTTCTTTTGCTTGAATTGGATTCAAGCAAATGGCATAAAATATTGTATATAACCAGACATTCTGATTGTAAATCGTTCTTCATGGATTTCATCTTATAAGAGCTCACCCAATGATGGTTTAATCAACAAACCATGGTCAATCAAGAGTCATATATGATATATCGATACAGCCACTGGCTCTGATCAGGTCAAATAGCCTATTCAGATGATCAGGACTTTTGATAATTGAAAAGGACACAATATTTCTGCTGACAACAAACACACAAGATTCTGCAGTACCATAGGACATTTTTTGTGCAATGATAGTGAGGAAATGGAATGCAGCTACAAAGTGGGTGATGGCCTTTCTGTTTTTACTTTGGCCAATTGATAGAAGTCAGTAGATTCAGAATTATATGGCATTTCTCTATCTTGTGACATAAAATTACAGAGTCTGTATGATTGCTGAAGATCTAGTAATACTAGATTTATTTACCTCCAATTAGAATGCATAGATGGAGAAGATTCAGTAGCTGCTGTAGACTAAACAAAAGGTATCTAGTCTATCAAAAAGCTTCTGTCTAACATTTCTCATTAAATTGATACAAAATCATAAATAGTTGTGGCTTGTATTATTTCAGTGAATTCCAGAACAGGATTATTTTAAGGTGATCAGTTTTGAAGTATAGAAGAAGGATGGGAGAAATGCAGAGAACTGAAGGAGAAGACTGCTTTACTGGCATGACTTGATGTTATAACAAATTAAATATAAAAGCATTTTTGGTAAGTTTAAAAAAATGCAAGTAATGTTGAGAATAATATCTGGTAAGCATTATACTGAATAATGCATAGGCATTATATTGAATATCTCCAGGAAAAAAAGATTCCCTGAGCATTTGTGTTGTCAAGAATTCTGTAATTTGATCATCAGTCTAACTCCTGTTATAGTCATGGCAATAATAAAGTTTGTAAAGATTTTCTGCTTACAATCTTTGTAAAGATTATCTTTGATTAGTGGAGTCCAGATTCTTATGCTCTATCATGAGCAACCTGGTTAAATAGTGAAGGACCAGAGGAAATATATAATGAGAGGGACTTTTGTAAGTTTAGTCATCTTTAACATTTCTACAGTATATCACATTTATGGATATTGATGCTGTATAAATGATCAAGATACTGGCTTGTTCTATTCTAAAAAAAATGAGACAAGGAAACACGTCTAACAGAAACAGTACTGAAAAAGTGATGAAATGGGTCACTGCTTTTTGGACAGGCTTCCCCAGCCATAATTCACTGTGATGGTACCATGTTGACAAGGCCGATCCACTACATTTTAGATATTCCCCGAATGTTTAGGAAAATATGTATGGGAAAGAGGTGACCTGTTAGGATGTTGTTTAG